CAGGCTGGCCTTGAGCTCACTTTGTAGCCCAGGCTGGTCTTGAACTCACAACGATCGTCCTGCCTCAGCCTCCTGAGTGCTGGGATTACAGGCATGCACCACTACGTCTGGCTGTAAACATTTTTATTGCCCATATCTATCATAAAATCATTTCGTGTGTGCTCCCAAATACATGTATAGTCATTTATAAATCACAAATGGATTGCTGTGATAATGTTGTTACAATGTATAATAAAGTAAACATATATTAATCCATATAAAAGATCACATATCCCCTGAAACATCTCTACATTTCATACTACTGCTCTAAACCACCCACATGCTAAGCGTTTAACATGGCTGGGGCTATAGTTAATTGTTTTCTCCAGCAATCTTCTCCAAAGACCATACTCAACTTCCACACAATGCTATGTTCACCATCCTTCATTTAGGTTTGAAAATTTTAATTTTGTCCTAGCTTAGTTAGCTTTGAATATAGACACTGAGGATCCAGAAATTTTAAGCTTTCCCACAGCAGATGGGTAGGGAAGCTGCTCAGTACATGGGTAAGAATGGCCTATTCTAAAGTTAATCATTTTGACAAAATGAAGATTCAGAAATTAATGTGCCATTCACTTTGCCTTTATTTCATGTCCACCATGCTGTGCAGCTGGAGTGTCAAATGAAAAAAATGAATTCACTTCAAATTCAGAAAGCAGAAAAATATAAACCAAGATTATCTTAGTCTATTAACTCTATGTCCAGGAATCTATATTAAGGAAATAAAGATGAAGTCAAAGGGTATTTATTTTGGAGTTCTACAGGGAAAGCTAAGATGAATGTTTAATAAAAGAGTATTCTTTTTTAAAAAATTAAGTAGTGCAGTATCATGTATAACTAATCAGCCTTTCAAGAACGTTTAATGAGGGTGTAGCTCAGAGGCAGAATGCCTGTTTAGCACGTGCTCAGCAGAAGCACCACCAAAAAAACAAAAAGCTTAATAAAAATATATTGAAAATATTTACTTTACTGTCAAGTGAAACCACAAATATATAGTCTTTATTTTATGAAATAATGTTATTTAAAATAAATCCTATACACTAGAACAGCCAGTACATTTTTTTCTGTTTACAATTTACTGAACCTGAAAGACAGCAAAAATCTTTCCTTTTTTTTTTTTTTTTTTTGCGGTACCGGGGATTGAACTCACAATCTCGCGATTGCCAGGTAGGCACTTACGCCACTGAGCTGTATTCCCAGCCCAAGACAGCAAAATCTTACTCTTGTAAACTCTGGTCTTTTTTAGGAGACAGAAATCACCAATTTAAATAAACAAACCATTATACTGAGGACCTTTGGGGGTAACCTTGGTAGTTAGTGAGGCCTGTGATGACTCAGGGGAAATATTGTAAGTCCTAGGTATGTGTGTGTGTGGGGGGTGCGGTTACTTAACAAAACCACCAGGTGCCACTATTGCTTTACAGAGAGGAATACAATACCAAGCATGACCTTTTTATTAGGGATTCATGCTTTCACTCACATTGGGCTAATAATGTCTTCTCAGAAGGCACAATAATCACTTCGGTACAATAATTTTAGCTCATATCAAAGGTCAGTTGGAGGGCTGGGGATGTAGCTCAGTGACACAAGCACCTGCCTGGCAAGCATAATGTCCTAAGTTCGATTCCCCGGTAACCCCCTCCCCGCAAACAAAGGTCAGTTGGAAGAAATATGAAAGTATAGTTCCCATCAATTCCTACATGTAAACTAATTGGGTTAGGATGGATAATAGAGAACATATTACATTATATCAAGGAATAGATTCAGGCCATAAAAACTGACTATATTTTTAAATATTGTACTAATAGTAACACACACACACACACACACACCCCCCGCCGTACCAGGAATTGAACTCACAACCTCGCGCTTGCCAGGCAGGCGCTGTGCCGCTGAGCTAAATCCCCAGCCCTTAATAGTAACATTTTAATGGTACTGTGTACCACTGTTTCTGTGTAAAATGTATTCTTCATTCCAACACTGAATGGCCGAGATGAGTATGTTTCTACCCTGACTTGAACTTCTCCACCTATAAAATCATCTTAAAGAGATTGAATACCATGTAAATAAACAGAGTTGGACATTTAAAAAAAATCTCTCTGTAGAAGTAAAGTTTCTAGTGTCTTTCGCTACAGAGACTACTTCTAAATAAGTCAGGGAATTTGTTTCAGTGACAAAAAGTTTGCTGAACTTGGTGTCCCAGGGCATTTGACTTTTGTCTTATTTAGGGTCTGTCACTTATGAGGAGTGGACTATGACAAGTCAATCCATCCACTGGGTATTAATCCTTGAAATATAAGGGCGTTAGGTCAAATGGTTCTGGTTTTGTTTTTTTTTTTTTTGGTCTTTTTGAGACAGGGTCTCACTATGCAGTTCAGGCTGGCCTTGAGCTCACTTTGTAGCCCAGGCTGGTCTCGAACTCGCAGCAATCCTCCTGCCTCAGCCCTCTGAGTGCTGGGATTACAGGCATGCGCCACCATGCCCAGCTCAAATGGTTCTTAAGTCCCCTCCAGACAAGATTCCTATGGGTCTATAAAAACAGAAGTGTATTTTGGCATAATATACTTTTCTGACTCAACATTTTGCAGTTATGAAAGGGACAAAATGTTGTAGCACCCATGATTATCACCACCCAATCATTTAGTGCTTATTGAGGCCTTCAATGTACCAGATATAGTGCTAGATATTAAAATGAAGATGATAGGGCAGGATAGTCCACACCTGTAATTCCAGTAATTGGGAGGCTGAGGCAGGAGAATTGTTGCTGGTTCAAGGCCAGGCTGGGCTACATAGTGAGTTCAATGCCAGGCTGAACCTACATACTGAGACCTTGCCTCAAAAAACCAAAAGAAGCTGATAATGTTTCTTCTACCAAGAAGTTTAAGGCCAAACTAAGAAAGTTACAGATAATTACAATGCAACAAGATGAGGGTGTCGGCTAGAGTATATCTAAATACACCAGGTAGACCTTATCTTCAATATGCTTTTTAGTCAGTTTCAGAGAATTTGTAACTCAAAAGAACTTTTCTGATTTGCCTACAAGTATTTTCTGGGTGACGAACTTCCTGGTTATCCTTCTATGGCTAAACTGACTTTTGTTTTAGAGAGACAAGATATTTTCTGACATACATATTCCTGGGTTATGTAACTCCAGCACGAAAATGAGAAGGGAATCGTCAGAGCAGAGCAGAAACTGTTTGTGCTACATCAGAAGAAATTCTCCTGCCATTTAGCATGAACGTTCACAGAATTTCAGTCCCATTATCTTTCTAAATTCTCTCTCCTCTTTGGTGTTTTTCACTGGTTCTTTCCTCTTCTCTGCAAAATGCTAAGATCAGCTTTTCTGAATCTTCCTCAACTAGGTCAGCAGCTCTAAGCCCCTCCTGCCTCTGTGCTCTTACCATTATGCCTTCATCGATCTCAGACTCCCAACCAGGGCATTATGGGGCTGGAGAGGAAATGAAAAATCAAATGCCAGCCTCTTCCACCTGGCAGTTTCAATGCTGCTAAATCCCCATCTGCTTACCAGACTCTCAGTAGTAAGCTCCGGCAAATCCTGAATGGTACAGCCAGGGTAATCCAGGACCGAGATGCTGCAAGATGCAGAGATAAGGACAGGCTTTAGGTAAATGGCAAGAGCAGGAAATGGCTGCATCTAAAAGGGCAGGAGTTATTTCTCTCCAGCAGGGTCCATCCATTTCCCAAACTGCTTAGTGACCTGAGCTGAAACTGAAGGCACTGATGCTGGGTAGCCCCAGCTCCAATTTCCTCTCCTTGGTCATGAGGGAAGCCAAGGAATTCTTTGTCTGGCTCCATCGAGCACATGCAAAAAGAGTAAGTGCAGAAAGGGAGGCTCCTTTCTACTTGGCTCTCTTTACTTCTTTGAGGAATATACAAACTTGGGTGCATTTTTGTTTTTGCACTGAAGTGTATGTGTGAATAGTGCTCGTGGAGATGCTGCCCAGACCCGTCCCATTAAATAACAATTTGAGTAGGTGAGGATGGAATAAAACCTCTCTTGTGTCTCTCAGCAGATCTTTCTGAAAGCCAGGAACTTTGACGAATGACTGCACAAGTTACTCTTACAGCAAGGTTGAGATAGGGGCAGCTTCCTGCAGCAGGACCAATTCAGCAGCTCAAGAATGATGGTAGTATCTGGCCCCAAAACCAACGGTGGGGGAAGTATAAGAACACTACATGCTCTGTGGTGAGCCCAAGGAAGTAGGCATGAGTCAGGAAGGGAAATAAGATACCACATGTGACAGGGACACAGTCACTCAACAAATGACAGTTTTCTTTCTTTCTTCTTTTCTTTCCTTCATGGTATAATGCAGAATTTTGGCTAGTTAATCTCTAATGCTCCTCTAGCTCTGATATTCAATCTGATATTTAATGAGGTTTTAGATACCAATCTGTACAACAGTTTGAAATGGGTGAAGGATTTTAGCAAAGCAGGAGCTATATATAACAATGAGTACGGGGTGCTTGAACCTCTCTGCATTTTGCAAGTCAAAACTTCTATATAAGCAAAAGAAAACACAATTTATTTGGCTAGAAGTGTTTATCTCTAAGAAACCCAAGCCAAGATAACCTAGGACAGTGGTGGTGAACCTATGGCACTTGTGCCACAGTGGGCTCTTTGTGTTACTGAAAGTTCTAAGAGGTTTGCAACCACTACCCTAGGAGAACCAGGGCAGTAGAGGAGAGGTGTCAGCTTGAGAGAGAACAGTGAGTCTACCTCTAATGTTGCCCAAGATATCCATTTATTACTCTGGATCTCCCAGGGTTGCCAGTTCTGTATTGCCCCATAGGATAAACATTCTTGGCTGATTCATCCACATCACTTATCCACCTCCCACTGACAAGGCTCCATGCCAAAGTAGGTGCTGGTGACTAGCACCTGACTAGCTGATGGAAAATCAAAGATGAAACTTGTTCCAGTTTCTCAACAAACTGAATTCTAGCCTACAGAGACATAAAAGAAACTTAAAAGTATCTAGAATATCTGGACTGTAAAAGCCATGAGGAAACTGCAATGATAAGCTGTGGCATTCTAAGCTCTAAGGGATCATTCAAAAGTAAAACTTGCAGGTAGCACACAGGTGGCACCATTTTGTCCAGGTCAACTCTAGCAATAGCTGTAGTCTGCCACTACCACACTTTTAACTCCAAAATAAAATTGACAGACACCTATTAGATTGTTTCCTCCTCCCCTTTTAAGCCCACACACATAAGGCAGAGGGAGCATTTAGTTCCTGTGCTCCACTTCCCTTGCCACAGCTGACCCAGTAGTAGATGTAACCCTGGGAATCTGGAACAAGGATCAAGTGACATGTGGCATATTTCACTAAGAGGCCTGAGAAGCAGACCAATTTGTCAGTGACAGAGGAAATCTGAGTGAAGTACAGAGATGTGGTATCCATAGGTGGAGATGAAAGGCATCTTGGGCTCTCCACATTATAGATCAATTTTTGACCCAGAAGTCCAAAGGGAATTAGATTGATGTTACAGTATAGATCAAGAGTGTTTCTTGTGCTGGGATTACAGGCGTGCGCCACCACGCCCGGCTCAAGAGTGTTTCTTTTTTTTTTTTTTTTGGTTTTTCTCCGGTACCGGGAACCGAACTCACGACCTTGCGCTTGCCAGGCAGGCGCTTTTGCCGCTGAGCTAAATCCCCAGCCCCTCAAGAGTGTTTCTTAACGGCTTCGCGCACTCATAGGGTGGGCTTTTGGAAGGTGACTGAATCATGAGGATGATATAGTTGGCTTTCTGTTTGGAGGTGGGGTCTGGTGGGAAGATGTGAGCAACTGGGAACATGACCAGGAGGTGTATCTCTCTCCCTCGGTACTCCTCTTTCTGCTTCCTTGCTACCATGATGTGAGCACATTTCCACCACGCCATTTTTGTGAAATGGACTGAAACCTATGAAATGGACTGAAACTTTGAAACTATGAACTAAAATAAACTTCTCCTTTAAATTGTAGGTGTCAGTGTTTTTTGTCTCAGCAATGAACAAAGTGACTAAGACAACTGGGTAACATAACCGAGAGTGTTGACTGATACACACAGGTGCCTGCATGCAGTTGTGGCCCTGACACACTCTGACCTACTTTTACAATTTTTATTTATTTACTTATTTGATGGTAATCTCCCTCTATATGGCCCAGGTTGGCTGTAAATTTGTAATCCTTTCAGTCCCTCAAGTAGCTAAAACTAACAGGTATGCACCATCATGACTGGCCTACACTTTAATTTTCCCTAGCAATATAAAAAACATGTCTTAAGCATCATTTTTAGGAGAAACAGTGCCCAGGTTTCCAGATAGCTAGGAAAAAATCCGTTTTCCAATGCTTCCTTGGTTCCTCTCAAAGTAAAATATTTAAAGCACTCTCATATTAATTTTTTTTGGGGGGGTTGGGGGTGGAGCTCAGAGCCTCATGCATGCTAGCTTCACTCTGCCACTAAGCCACATTCCCAGCCCACCTCTCGTACTAATCTTAACTAATGTTTATAAAAGCTCTATGGCCCTGGGGACGTAGCTCAGTTGTAGCATACTTAATTAGCATGTGTGAGTCCCCAGCACTAGAGAAAAATAAAAGCTCTATGACATACTTAGAGGCAGTATTCTCATTTTAAAGAAGTAAATACTGTGGCTCAGAGAAACTAAGCATCTTGAGATTACATACTTATAGTTAGCAAATGGCAGATCGAGGTCAGGAATCCAGGTGTCATGGCTTCAGGTTCCATGCAGGGTGTGTGTGTTTAAATTATATACAAGGCTGCCACTCTGCATTAGAATTTCAGGCAGTACTGACAGAGTGGTGAGACAACATCTCCTAGCTCCTCCCTCTCTAGTCGCAAGTATGACACCAATTCCCTTTTACTTTAGTAACTTAGCCTCTGATAAAGGAATTCTGGGAAGCTACCAAATAACATGCTTTTAGTTCTTGTGGAAGTAGCAAACTAAGGAATAAGGATCTACTCAGCAATATCTCAGTCCTGGCTGGGAAATTCACATAAAAGCCTATGTTCTTATCCTGCTTCCGATGCATACTTAAGAGGGTACTCATTAGCACATTAATATTGGGCAAGTCAAATAATCTCTACAAATCTGTCTCCTAACTGGAAAATGAGAATAAAAAAATTATCTCTTAGCATTGCTAAGATGAAATGAAACAATGAATGTGAAAATGTCTTTTTTTTTTTTAACTACAATTTGATCTAAGTAAAGCTCTGTTTACCTTTAGCCAGATTTTATATGGTACTTTATATTTTACAAAGCACTGTAATTGCAAGTATTCCAATTTATAGTTTAGACTGAGACTAGTGCTGGCCAGACAAGTAGATTGCTTCACAACAACAGATCTCCTGGGTCCTTCTGTAAGAGGACCTTCATCACAGAAATTTCATCACTGTAGCTTCATTTCTATAAGTAATAGTACTTTTCAGTTTCAGAACTGTTAACGTTACCCGGGTGTAGTATTGCATGCCTGTAATACCAGCACTGAGGAGACTGAGGCAAGAAGATCTCAAATTCAAGGCCAGGCTAGGCCATTCAGTGACTTAGTGAGACTCTGTCTCAAAAATAAAAAAGGGTTGGGGATATAGCTCAGGTTTTTTTGTTGTTGTTGTTGTTGTTTTTGGTACCGAGAATTGAACTCAGGACCTTGCCCTTGCCAGGCAGGCACTGTGCCACTGAGCTATATCCCCAGCCAGGGGATACAGATCAGTGTGAAGGACCTGGGTTCAATCTTTAATACTGAAAAAAACAAAAACTACTAAAATGCAAATGCTTCTGCAAAGAGACAAACCATACACCCTCATCAGCTAACACTTTAAGGAAATTAAATTGAACAGGGGCAGCTCTTAAGACAGGAGAGACGAGGGGCACCAGGTGCAGAGACATGTAATTTTCTCAATCACTGAAAAGAAGCCCATTGAAATAAACCCGTCTAGAGTCCATACCTGTTTTTGGCAGTAATGTAGGACAAGATATTTTGATTGAAGAACTTTAGGATCAACGGGATACAGTTGGCAAATACCAAATGTTGTGATATATATTCAAACTGAATTAAAAGATCAAAGCAGAAAGGAATGCTTATTTGAGGGGAAATAGAGGATATACATGAAAAGAGAGAGAGGAGACAGAAAAGAGAGAGAGGAGAGAGGAAAGAGAAAGGGGAGAGGGAAGAGAGTGATAGAGAGAGGAGGGAGAGGGGAAAGAGAGAGAGGAGAAAGGGGAGAGAGTAAGAGTGAGAGAGACAGAGAGAGAGAGAGGCACAAATCTAATATCCATTCTGAAGAATATCTACTATACACTAGTGTTATTAGTCTTTCTGCCTCTGAAATGGGACATTAATCTTCAGCCAGCCCATCCTACAAGGAGGGGAATAATCTATTTATATTGTACATTACCTGCTCCTTAAAGAAAACAAGTCAGAAGGAAAAACACACTCCAACTAAATAAAAGGAGCCGGGCCTGGTGGTGCATGTCTGTAATTCCAGCACTCAGGAAGTTGAGGTAGGAGGATCGCCATGAGTTCACAGCCAGCCTGAACTACATAGCAAAATGCTACCTAAAAAAACCCAAATCAACCAACCAAACAAACAAAAAATTCAAATAAATAGAAGGAATTGCTGTGAGATTTGTTCCTAAGCTCAACAGGAAAGGAAGGCTCCCTGAGAGATCTGCTTTCCATACCAAACCTCTGGCTCATAATGTTTCAACTGTGATTGATATAGCAGGGACAGGTGCAGCTCACTCCAGTCAACTGCTGACATCACTCAGGCAGGATGGAGGCAGCACACAGTAAGCAAATGAAGCATGGGAAGTGGGCTCCAGCTTGTCTTTCTGGTGTACCACATTATCCTAGCACTTAGAATATTAGTATTTCAATAAATGATTGAACAAGAGCCCTTAAACCATCAGACACTGTACTGAGAAGTCCAAGATGTCTTTAATAAGACAAACACCAGAGCATGGGGACTCCATTGGCTCTCTTGAATCAGGATGGGGTTTGTATGTGGGAAGACCTAGTTGGGTAAGTGGTCATAAAAGCAGTGTCATGGAGTTACCCTGGATTTTGCCCATAACACACTGAGAAACACCAGATCTTCAGATCAAGAGGTTAGAAAGCTGGGCCAGTACAGGCACAGGCTTTAGAAGCGGAAAAGTGAGGTGTTTAAAATCCCCTAGCCATACTGCCGGGTGTGGTGGCACACGCCTGTAATCCCAACACTGGGGAGGCTGAGGCAGGAGGATCCTTGCGAGCTTGAGACCAGCCTGGGCTACAAAGTGACTCAAGGCCAGACTGAACTGCATAGGGAGACCCTGTCTCAAAAAAATAAAAAACAAAACAAAAAATTCCCTAGCCCTGCATGATCACCAAGAGGTGGCTATGGCAGCAAGCTACATTGCTGTCTGCCCCTGCATATATGGTAGGAGGTAGGGAGTCCGCTTATACCATACTACTTTCCTCTTCTGTTCAATAGCTCATCTCCAGAAACCAACCCAGGGTGTTTTCCAAAGCTCCAGACAGAGGAGCCAATACATACTTGCTATAAAACGGGAAACTTCAGTTTGGGCAATGTCAGGCCCTGTCAGTATTCACCTACATTGACATACAGTGGCAAGGCCTGTCGGGCCACATACTTACTGCCCACTGAGAGAAGCAGCCATGGTCATACATCCACAGTTCAGTGGGAACATGGCCACCTACCCACTCCTACTATTTCCTGCCCTGCTGCTGCTCAGCAGACATCAGCAGAAGTGTGAGCACCAGGACATTTTACCATACCCATGGTTAGTTGAATGTACTAACATGGAGAGACTCTGGATACACAGGACTATGGTCACAAACCCTGCACAGACCACACACCATAGTCACAGGAGCCTTCCTGAACTCTAAGGACCTGCTCTTCTACCATCAAACCTGGTTCTGACTCCTTAGAAGGACAATGGGCTGGCACAAGAAATAATACCAACAATCAACAAAAAGAATCATATCAAATTAAAGAGCTACATAGCAAAGGAAACAACTAAGAGTGAAGAGATACCCTACAGAATGGGGGAAAATTTTTGCCAGCTATTCCTCATTCAGAAGACTAACATTTAGAATATACAAAGAACCAAACAATTTAGACTCCCCCAAATAAAAGACCAAATTAAAAAAAATGGGTAACTGAAATGAATAGATACTGGTCTGAAGAAGAAGTGTAAATAGCCAATAGATACAGGAGGAGTAAACAGGCAAAGCCTCTGGGCATTAATGAGCAGGATTCCTCTCCTCCCTGTCTGGTCTCCCCACAGACAGGAAGCATCCATTCACTGCCCCCGTCCTGCCACTATATTTTAGTAGTGTTAAGTCCAAACTCCTTAACAAGGCAAACAATGACATCTTGAGAAAGCAGAGTAGAGTCTCAACTTTTCTTAACCTTAGCTTCCTCATCCATAAAACAAGGATAAAATAAAAACTATCTCATAAAGAGAATTAAATGAGGTCCCACACAAGCTTAACAGGGTGCCAGGCACATTACAGGTACTCAGTAACCATGTGCTATCACATTACAATGGGCTCCCTGCTCACCCCTGCAGCTTCATGTGTCAGCAGCAGGCTTTCTCCTTCTCCCCAACTCCAGGCACAATTCTAGCAACACTTAATTATAATTTTCTAAAGTACTTTGCTTTCTCCCCTCTAGACTGGCACATATTAGCTTTTCTGCTTGAATTGCTTCCTATCCTACACCCATCAACTCTCATATCCAGGCTAACATCTGTTTCTTTAGGTCCCAAGCTAGAAGTCATTTCTTCCCCACCTCAAGTTGGGTTAAGTGTTTCCATAGCAGCCAGTGCTTACCTGCATCATAGCACTTATCACTCTACAATTGGCTATTTATATATTTGTAACTTTTATAAGACTCTAGGACTCTCGAGAGCCAGAACTATGTTTTATCAGAATTATACCTAAAATGTCAGAAGAGTGCTTCATATAAAAAGCTTGGTCAATATACCCTCCTTTTTTTTGGTGGAATTTTGTTCTATTTTTGAAGTACTGGGAATTGTTCCCAAGGCTTTCACATGAGCTATATCCCTAGCCCCATTATTAATTTTAATTTTTTATCTTGAGACAAGGTTTCACTAAATGGATAAATTGCCCAGGCAGGGTTTAAACATGTGATCCTCCTGCCTCAGCTCCCAGCGTGCTGGGATTACAGGCACATGCCATCATACCCAGCTCAGGAGAATGAATTCTGACTTGGCACTGTTTCAAAACTGACTGGGCATATTTCTAAGAATTTCTACTCATGACTCCACACAAACTTATCTAGCACACAGATACCTGCACCTTTCTAAGACAGTTCTCCACATCCCACTTCATATTCCCACCCCAAGCTCACAGAACAAGTAGCTAGACCCCCTGAGGACAAAGTCTGGAAGATGCTCCGCAAGATTACAAGGATTCTTGCATCCCCCCTAAGGTTGGGAGAACACTCAAGGCCTGTGGAGAAATGCTCCTGGAGTCTCACCTGGTAAATATGGTTGAGTTTGAAGTGTTTGAGGAGCAGAAGGAGCAGAGCAGAAATACTCTTTACGATGATCTCCTTGTGCCTATTCACATCGATGCCCAGCTTCATACTCTGGAGAACAGTGATGCTACAATGGAGAGAAGAGTTGTCAGTGCAGAAGGTGGCCTTGGAAGGAGGCCTAGGAGAACCCAAGTATTTGGGTCAGATATAAGGTACATGAGAGTCAGAATTAGGAAATCTAAATTTCTATGCTAGGGAAATCTGAAGAGTTCACACTTACAAACCTGTCTGGACAAAAACTACTGATCTCTTTGGCAAATCTGTCCCTTGGCAATACACACCCACATACTCAGGGGGGTCACTCTTTGGACCACTAGTCTTGAGGTAAACAGACCACAGAAGAGACCTCTGCAGGGAAAAGTGGGTAGTGGTAGGAAAGGAGAGATCTCTTTGAAGACAATCCCCAAAAGTGTTAACAAAGGCTGGTGAGACAAGGAGGCCCTGCAGACAACACACTGGCATCCAGCAATGCCACAGTGGAAGCACTCACGGCATTTCTTCAGGCAGGACATCTGCCAGGATATTGATAGAGTCTGTCTTAGCCTTGGAGGTGGGAGCTGCAGCCAGGAGAATCTTAAGCAGAGCAATCTGAGAAGTAGAAAAGGACTAAATCCATCCATATCCATCCCACTTAACAAGGCAGAGATTCTTCCATAACTCATCAGCTCAATGAAAAGCATTTGAAAGCCTTTCTCTAAGTTCTTCCTTCAGTGACCAAAATCTCTCCAGAACCCAGAAGTGCAATGAGGCGCCCAGTCCTGTGAGGCTAAGGAGGAAGTTGGAAGGGATCTCATAGGCTGTTCTGCTTCAAAACTGCTCTTTCCAAAAGAGAAGATGGAAGGAGCAGAGTGGAAGGGGAATGCATACAAATAAAGTGGAAGGGATAAGTCCAGCCTTCCCCATGTTTTTCTTCTGACTATCAGCATTGTTACTTTTCCCAGACCAATACTACAGAGGACATGACAGACAACAGCAGATCTCAAAAGAACTCTGGAACCTCCCTAGAAGGGCCCCTAATGCATCCTATATAGGACCCACTTTATTTCCTATCCCTCCCAAAGGACTAGGGAGAAGAGCACCTCCAGAGGAGCCCTAAGGAAAATTCAGAATTCTAATGCTTTGCTCAGGCAGCCATAGCTCAGGAAACAAGCTCAAACACTGGACAGTAGAGTCTGAAGTGGCTCTCAGTTGTCTTTTACTCACAGCAAAGAAAAGAAGCTCTTGCCCAGCCATCTCCTTACCATGTACTGGGGGAGACTATACAGCATGCCCTGGTAGAGGATTTCACATGGCGTTTCTGGTACCACCTCTTCTCCCTATGGCAGGAAATACCCAGTTTGTCCAGGCTACTTTTTAGGTGACCAAAGTCTTCATTTTTTTGTTGTGAGGGATGGTATAAAAAGACATTAAGTTAGGAGTCAGATCTGGGTTGCTATTCTAGATGTGTTAGTGATCTTAGATAGGTGACCTTCCTTCTCTGAGTCCTAGTTTCCTCTTCAATAGGATCAGAGGGTTGGTCTGGGTGATCTCTGAGGCCTCTTCCAATCCCAATAATCTATGCTTCTAGATTTCTCATTATCTGTAATTAATCTAGAGTTCTTCTTTCACATCACATGTTGGATCAGGAATTAGAACTCTAGAAGTTAGCTCAGACCATTGTTTTGTTGGACACATGCACAGGACCACCCTGGATATACATATGGGTTTAAATCAGGCTACAGGTACACCTGGGATGCTGGAACAGACACCCACACAGAGGCACTTCTCATGGTGTCAATCAGAGGTCAATAGAGAGCTCTAGAATGCTCTAAAAGCCATGAAGGAGAGGTAGGTGGCTCGGTAAGATTAGTAAGGGAGTGAGGTAACCTATGACCAAAGAGACAGGAAGGAGTATTAGCAAGGACACCTTTAGATCAATAGAAACTGTTTTCTTCCTGTCTCCATTAACACTAGTAACATCATTTTCTCGTTTCTGACCAAGGGATTAAACCCTGGCCTTTGCACTGAGCTACATCCATAGCCCTTTTTACTTTTTATTGACAGGGTCATGCTAAATTAAGTTGCCCAGGCTGGGCTCAACCTGCAGTCTTCCTGCCTTAGCCTCCCCAAATGTTATTGGGATTATAGGCATGTGCCATCGCACCTGGCTGTGTCTGTCCTCTCGATGAGTCCCAACCAAGCAGAAGTCAGGGGTGTTCAAGTGGCTGATGAAACCTCATTGTCACCTTTGGACAATGCAGTCTCTTCTGTCTCCAGGCCCCTTTATTACAGGGCAAGGGTCACTACCACGAGACCTTGAGGCAGGGAAGAGTAATTGGGCCCCTTCTATTCAGCACAACTCAGCAGCTGCTTACATGGACACAAGTCTTAGATGGGCATTCAGCAAAGCCTGGTAATGTAGGCATGTGTGCTTTCCTAAAAGGCCTATTCCCTAAATCCTTCCTTCGCCCCAAAACCAACTCCTTGCCCCACAGTTCCTTAATAGTTGCTGACCCTGACTCACATATTTTATGGAGAAAACAGAAGCAGATAGGTACCCTCATTTCTCTCTACCAGAGATTCTGCCTGCCTAGTGACATAAAGGATGATCTTCCTATACTTTGAGGTCAGCATTCCACTTGGGCTCAGGATCCCATACCTTTTTACTCTGTGGACGCCATTAGTCCTGTAATTAGCCCCTCTCCTGAGTCATTTCTTTTAGGACATAAAAATACGCTGGTACTCTGTTATAAGACACCTTCCCTTGACCCCACATCCTCCGCCTTCAGCCACCATCCCATTCATTTCTTGCTTCCTCTTCCACTCCCTTCTTGACATTCCTTTCCCACACACTACAACTAGGCCTTCATCTTTTTTTCTTTTTCTTTTTGAGACAGGGTCTCCCTATGCAGTTCAGGCTGGCCTTGAACTCACTTTGTAGCCCAGGCTGGCCCTGAACTCACAACGATCCTCCTGCCTCAGCCTCCCGAGTTCTGGGATTACAGGTGAGTACTGGGATTACAGGCATGCACCACCACGCCTGGCCACAACTAGGCCTTCAGCCTTACCACTTTGTTTGCTGTTGCTCTTACCAAGGTCACCACTTACCTTCATGTTGCTGAATCTAGTGGGCACCACCATTCTTATCATGTGCCATCCATCAGCAGCATTTGACCCAGTGGATCACTCTCTCCTTGAAAGACTTTCTTAGCTTTTCTGCTATCAGTCTCCTGGATTTCCTCTGACTTTGCTGAGTGTTTTTCTAATTATTTTCTGGCTCCTCTCCTGACTCATCCCACCCTCAATATACTGGTGTGCCCGAGGACTTTGTCCTACGTCTCATCTTCTTTTGCCTTTACTCCCCCCTGGATTCTTTCAGCCACTTCTGTGACTTTTTTAACACTATCTATAGATCAATAACTCCCAAATATCTCAAAGCCAACCTTCTCCCGAGGACTTTAGACCTATATATCTAATTGCCTCACAGCTCTGCATGGGTATGTGCTGAGCATCTAAAACTCAGTATGACCAAAGCGAGACTCTTTATATTTTTCCCTTGATTCCTTTTTTATCTGTTTTCCACATCCAACTGAATTGCAAGTCTTGTCAGTTACAATTCCAAAATATAACTGAAATTTACCCACTTTTCCCTGTTTTCTCAATTAGTACTTTAGTCTAGGTCACCTTGACTATTCCAAGATTGAGCAGTATTTCCACTACTTTCTGGGCCAATCTTTTGCCAGCAACCAGTGGTTTTTAAAAACATACATCAAATAAATTTTGTCACTGCTTAAAAAAAATTAATAAAATTTCTGCACTGTATCTACCATCCTCTGGTAGCCTTGTTTACTTTCCTTCTCAACTTTAAAGTAGCATGAAATAAAGCACTTGGTCTTGCCTGACACTTGTTAAGAGCCCAGCACACTGAATCAATGCATGCACACATATCTGCAATGGCACTGTATACAGTTCCCTTCTCCTGGCTCACCAAAGACATAGGGCATTTCTCCAGCTCCTCTTCATTCTTGATCTGCACATCTGCGATGGAGATATACTTGTGCTGGCAAGGAGAAGAGACATCAACAGGGCTAAGGGTGTTAGTCACATGTGTAACCAGTTTGTCAACTTTCTCACTGATAAGGCAGTATTCTGCTTTGACACTTTATCCCAAACAGATATGAACTCTTTGAAGGCAGGAGTCTTACTCACTTCTACATCATCAGCATCAAGCAAAGTGCTTCTTCAATAGTGCTGTTGTGTAGTATATGTTTCTATATTTGTTGAACAGCAGCAAATATCTAAGCATTTACCTTCAAAGTACAAGGGGAAGCCAAGGACAAGCCTTTCCCTGACCACTGCCCTGAGAGGTGTGATGTGTGCATGTATGCACAGAGCGATGCCTTCCTACTCTGTGCTCACACACAATGGGTTTCGAGCAGACTCCTACTCAATCCTGGGCCTTTGGACATTAGTGGACCTATGGGCAGAGAGAAGTGAAAGAAAAGGAAGCAAGAAGTGGGAAAGTGAGACAGAAGAATGGAAAGAGGGAAAAAGAATGAGAGCAACAAAAGAAAACCTTTTAAGCTATCTGAATGTAGAAAACTAGGTAAGTAAAAAAGACCCGATTTTTCTATCTGGTGAAAAGCCATGCTTGGAGGGGAAATGCAAAAGGTCCTCAATGTGTCTGGTAGAAGAGTTCCATTCAGTATCTAAGACCCTAGTAACCTGACTTGGCTTGATGTTTCTCTATTCCTGAAGCCCACCCTGGTCACCTGCTTTAGGGTCTTCACACTCTCATGGATGGGTCTGGGCAATCCCACCAAGGTATCTGTGTCCCTGAGAAAGGCAGAAACATCCATCATGAGCTTCAGAGGAGCAGAAAATTACCCACGCACCCTGCAATCACAGGGACCACACCACTCTGAGCATCTAAGCACAGGTACTCTTCCTCTGTAAGCCTCTAGGTCCCCAATCTTGCTTCAGGACACAAAAATAAATAACAATGGTACACTGAAATGTTTCCTGAAAATTAGATTTGTAGAGTCTCCTTGGAGACTTACTTGGTCTGGGAGTGATAGATTCCTACTGAAAAAGAGTGTATAGCCCAATGACACTCTGAATTTTTCTTTTTTGAGATGGGGTCTCACTAAATTGCCCAGGCTGGCCTCAAACTCACAATGGTCCCGTTTTAGCCTCCCCAGTGGCTGGGATTACAACTGTGTATCATTATGCCTAGCTCCAACAAAGTTTTTGGTGAAAACCAAAATAATAAAAGCCTTCTAGGTTTTATAAAGGCCAGTGGGAAGAATTCATAAGGGTAGAGAAATGGGAGAAGATTGGATCTGTTCTGATCATGTCTCTTCTTTATCTAAACTAACATTCTTATGAGGGAATTGAGGCCCAAGAAGGAAGTAACTTGTTGTTCAAGATCCTATATTGGCTCAAAAACGAAAGTTCTTTGAGGACACTGGAAGGAACTCAAGGAAAAATTCCATGGAAAGAACCCAAAGTAGTCACTGTGGCCCTATAGCTCTAGGTTGCACTATGACTATTTGACAACACCCCTCATTGCAAACAACCTGTCCCTTTGGTCTCCTAGGAACTACTTCACAGTCAGTTTTGACCATGTAGCTACTTACTGCCCCAGGGTGAATCCGATGAACTTGTTCCTGCTCATCTCCAGGAAATGCTCAATGTCCTTCTGTCTGAGAAGGTGATGGAGAGACCAACCATAGAGAAGGGAAGAAAAGCAAACCTTGAGAGACAGAATTTTCCTAGGCTCCTGCTCCTTTAAATGGTTGGTTGGAGCAATGAGGGAAGATAGCAGTCAACAGGGAATGTTGAACCCAGAACTTCTGACTGCCAGCCCAGCTTAATGAGCATTGAAGACAAAGACTATTGTTCTGGGCGTTTGGTGACTAAAGCCCCAAACAGTGGGGTTCAGTTGTTGTTAAACTTACCTGACTTTTGGTGCCCAGGGCAAGCCTTTCGGAAAGGTCACTCGCTCAGCAGAGAGGGGTGCCTGTGAGGGTGGAGGTGGCACCAGAGGGTCTTGCTCTAGCAGATCTAACTCTCCATCCAAGGTACGTTCTCCATCACTAGGAGAGTCCTCTTCTTCCTCTGTGGCTGGGTCCTCGGTCTTGAAGAGATCCCTTTCATTGTAGATATCTAGGCTGTCCTGCTTAGTGAGGAGTTGCTGGGGATAGGGGAAGAAAGTATGCAGAGATCTCATCTTGGGCATCCTTGTCTGAAGCCATGCCCACCTATCACCTTCTAAACTTCAGGGTATATGAAGTCTGAACCCAGTTTCTGTAAGAATATCCTACTTCTCATACCAACCTTATGGTTCACACTGGTCTCAATTCCAGGACAAGCAGAAGTCTGGCAACCATGCCAATAGCCAGGGATAGACCACAGACAATCCCAAAGTCATAGTTACTTAACTTTCAGAAAGCACTGGTGCTTTTTTTTTTTTTTTTGGTCAGCACTTTCCATCTTAATTATGATCTGCTTAGGTAAACATTCAATTAGTTTGCCTTCTGTGAGCATACACCAGCTGGTCGACTGAGGAAGAGGAGGACAGAAGACTACTGCTAGGCAAAGGCGAGTGAGTTGGGAATTTTAAATCTTGTGGCAGAAAGAATAACAGATTGGACAGAAATAGGCCAAAAAGTTAACAGTCACTGCTTCTGGTTGTTAAGATTGTGGGTGATTTTTCTTTTCTCTCTCATCACAATTTTATATTTGTTCCAAATTTTGTACAATGAGTAAGCATTACTTTATAAAACAAAAGGTTAAAAAAATCACATTGCATATAATATAGACTGGATTAGTGAGCACAACTGTTTGGTCTTGTCACCTTTAGTTGGTGAACTCAGGAATGTCAGGCAAGTGAGATCTGGAAGACGGCCAGATCTTAGTTTAACTTCTTCTGAATTTTTCAGAACTACAGCCTATACCTAGAACCTTAAGCAGTTATCTCTTAAATGTAAACTTGTGGCTCCAGGGCCAGATAAAGAGTGTGGCTAGCTCAAAGTAAACCTTGCTGACAATAAAATGGTAAAGTTAAAAAGAAAAGAAAGAAAATGGTAAAGTTAAACAAAGAAAGTAGTAAATTGCCACACCCTAGGGACATGGATTTGCTGGGAGTCCCATTCCCAGGATTCTACCCTGATATTCAGGATGTCCAGTCTCTGAGGTCCAGACCAGTGACACCAAAGAAGACACAGCTATATGATGTGATATCACAGTGTTCCATCAGGATAGCCCAGGAGCCTGTCAGGTTGACAGACCATTGCTCAAAGATTTCAGGCTGGTCACAGGACCATCCTGGGTCAGAATGAGTCAAGTTGTTTACTGTCTTTTCCTATTATACCCAGAGTAGCTTAAAATCTTGATTTTGGACAGCCAGTGTCACACCAGTCTGTTTTAGTCCATACCCTTCGAGAACCACGGCGGCCTCGTAGCTTGGAGGGTGGTGGTGCCAGCTGAGACTCCCCCAAGTCAAGAGTGTAAGAGGGTGGGGAAGCAGCACGCATGCTCTTCACCACCTGGATACTGTCCTCGGCCAACGGAGGTAGGCCCAATTCTGCCCGTTTCTGTATTTTGAGGGTCTGCAGATGCTCAAATCCACCGAGGGTAAACTAAAAGTGAAAAGGAAAGGGACAGAGAAGAGTGAGGAAGGGAGGTATATCAGATAACACAAGGTCAGAGAAACATAGCTAGGAAGAAAGAATTCCAACCTCCTGGCTCCTCAGATTCCCTCCGGAATAAAGAAGCAAAAAACCAGAAATGGGCAAATGCGGATGCCACCCCAGGCTGAGGAGCTCAGGGGTCAAAATAAACTATTTTTTTATTTACTGAATCAGAGCTGGAAACATCACCAGAAATTAGAAAAGGGACTTGTGTGGCCTCCACTGAATAAAACAGGAAATGATCTCCCTTTTTAAAGGACACATCCAGATGTGAGTGAACCTACACAGTCACTCAATTTCTTCTGCAATGAAGACAGTTCCTCCTGTGAGGCTGGCCTGAAGCGTTTGTTGTTCAACCAGAGATGGTGGATCAGGCTGAATTAGTAACAAACTTTCAACCATACACTTATCAGGGCTATGTATGTATGTATACATGCATGTACTAGATACATGGGAGGGCAAGTACTAATCCTAACATTTTATAGCTAGAGAAACTGAGGCAGAGTTGCACAAGGCTCCTTAGTATCAGCAGAAGATCTCCCAAATTTCAGCCAGCATTCCTTCCATGAGCCATCAGCTCTATTAGGGGAAGGGGTCAGTGACACCTTGACTCACAGAGTAGCATCTCCCATCTATCAAAGAGAGACAGAAACCTGCTCTGACACAGCACATCTGCCATCTTTAGCGTGGTCTTGTTGCCCCTCTTTGCTAGCCGCTGGCTAGCAGCTGCCACCAGTTGTTGGAGTCAGAATAGAGGAAACTGAGGGGGTTGTTGCTGAGCTGATGAGATGGGAATAGGGGGATCAGCCACTCACCATGACCACCTTCCAGAGCAGAAGCAGGACCTTCTTTATGGGAAAGTGGGGGGCCAGGCCACTGCAGAATTTGGTAACCATAGAGAAGAGCAAAAGGGCAAAAGGCTCCTCGTTATGCATGGAAAAGCCTGGGGGTGAAAAAAGAGGCAAGTGTGAAAGTGAGGATGACAAAGCTGAAACCCTACCCTTGTACTGAGTCTGGACACACTGAGGAAGTCACTCACCTCCCCTGAAGAAATCTAGAGAAACTGGTCCTGAAAAAGGAGGCTTAGTGAGCCCCCAGAGGAAAACCCCTCAAAGGCAGAAAAGGAGGCTATTAAGGTGAAATGGCTTGGCTCCCAGAGTTTCAGTGATGCTTTGAGTGTGGATGCCAAGCTAAAAGTAACAGTAATGAAAATGCTGCTTTTTGGCTGAGCCACTCAAGATATTTTGTGGACCACAGTTCACTTTGCCACTCCAATAAATACATTTTTAAAATTCCATATGCCTTCATATATTATTCCTGTTAAATGACCACATGAACTTACATGTGAACAGAATTGAATTTTCAAGGTGATTCAACCAATTTTTTTGATGTGGGATTTGTGATGGAATGGGAAAAGGATGGCTATCCCCATTTGTAACCAAAGAAACCAACACAGAAGAGTTCTATGACTGGTCCTAGCTCATAGATACAGGTGATCAGTCAAGCCCAGCCCTTGTGTCTCCCATAACTCCTAAAAGAAAAATGTTAATTAAAAAAAAAAAGAAAAAAAGGACTATCTTTCTCTCCTAGGCAGATGGTATGCTTCCCCTCCACCACTACACATCATTCCCATCCTTCCTTAAGTGCCACTTCTTACTCAGTTCAGTGCGGAAGGTCTCCCGGGCTGTCCTCCACCCACAGGGGTCTGTCTCTCGCTCCAAGCGGATATTTTCCACCATTAGGTACATGACACTCAGCAGAACCCTGAGGTTACAAAAGGGTCACAAGAGGTTCCTGAGACAGTTCCCAGCCCAGCTAGTAGTCACAGACCTCAGGGATGATCTCAGTGGGAGCCCAAACCAATGAGGTTAGATAGAGGGCAATGTCTGGGATTTGAGGACGAGGTAAACCAGTGCTAATCAGCCCCCTCCTGAGCCCTTAGTCAACCCCACTCACCGGAGCTCTGTACTATCAGCAATGGAGACAGCAGGTTTCCGAAGGGCACTGCCACAGGCCTGACTGTTGCTGCCATGGGGAGGAAGGAGAGAATAGGAACTCTCAGAACCTTGTTTCTCCTACCTAACATACCCACAAATATGAGTATCTGCCATTCCCTGGTCACTAATGAAACTGCTTTATGGTAAAGGAAGCCCATAGAGAATTCTCTTGCCACCTCAGTAAACTCTCATCTGTGTGAAGACAGGCAAGGACAGGGTCTGTGACATTCATTCCTCTTGTGATCCCCACTATGCCTAATACTGTGTTAGACATAAAATAGACGCAAAGCAATACCTGATGAATAGTAAGCAGATTTCACCCTATCTAAAACTTCTGGGTGAAAAGAAAGAGACAAAATGAGGGGTCCCTGGAGCATGGATTCCAGAGTTAGGCTAAGCTACGATGGTACTTGGATTAAAAAAAAAAGAACCCAACCATGATAAGACCCTGAAGCCTAGGACTGAAGCCATAATTAGGACAGAAGCTGCTGTTGAACCCAACCTCAGGGAAGAGGACAGAACATCAGGAGACATGGCTGGATGGAGGGGAACTGTCACAGCTGAGGTGTGCATAGTCCCAGCTCCCCCAGGGGTCTCTGTGGAGGAAACCAGCATAGGACATGAGGCCCTCCAAGGAAGATGGTCTAGGTCAGCCCTCCCTTAAGGCTTCTCACTCGATTTCCATGTGGAGTAGCTCCAGGAAGGCTGAGAAGGTCCCCATCTGATAGAGCAGGAAGCAGTTGTACCTGGACCAGTGTAGCACATCGACCTCTGAATCACATTCCCCAAAAGTGCCTAAAGGACCAGACAGTTGCCAGAGGGGTTGAGGAGGGGCAGGAATTCAGTCTTTTCACCCTGTCCCATGATCTTAAAACTTTCTTCTAACAGCCTGCCTAACAATTAGGCTGGGAGAGGTAGGGCAGTGCTTCTGAGCACTCTCTTCAAGGAGACAAGAGAAAAAGAGGGTAGACACTAGGGTTAGGTCCAATGTATTCCTTAGTGGCCTGTCTTAACCCCCCAAAATACTTCTGAAATAAGTAAGAATTCAAGTACAAGTAGTTTATTTGGGGAGTCATCCTAGCAATCATCAGTACAGAAGTAGTAAAGTAAGATAGGGAAGACATGGCAATCAAGAGTTCAACCCCAAGGGGAAGCTTTACAAATGATATAAAACGCACAACTCAGTTACCCTATCCAGGGGAGTGAGACATTCAGGCTATTTATCAATTTACTCCTGCCAGTCTTTTTATGAGGACTGCTGGACTCAGAGAATACATTAATTCCCTACACTTCCTGGTTACCCTTTGCGGGCTGCAGAGAAAGCCCCTGGGCACAAAGACCTTAGTACTGGCAGCTGGAAGTTAGCCAGAGCACCAGATCCAAGAGTAAGGGTGGTATTACCTTATTTGCTAGAGTCTTCCCTTCACCCAATGTCTACTCTCTTTCCTCTCCATTTATTTTTTTTCTTTTACAATTTTTTAGCTCCCAGCCAGTTGGTTTGCCAGCAATCCTCTTGTTTATGATGTCCTGATGTGTTTTTCACTTCTCCGGCTAGCCCATGTCATTTTGCTTTCTAACACCTGGCTAACAGGTCTCTTCTGGGAAGCCTTCCCCAACTAATCTCATTTAGTTCTGATCATTTCCAAATTACCCACAGCATCCCTCTTGCTGTTGTATTGGCTTGAGCCTTCAAAATGCCAATGAAAAGCCATGTAGAGGGCCCTTATGTGAGTCTGTGACATATCCCTATCTCCACTCAGTGTTGGGGCCAGGCCACTGCTGATGAAAGATGTCTCCATGCTCAGCTGACTGCAGCATCAGCTCTGATCACACTGACTTTCTTACTAATCTTAACATATACCTCTGTACCCTAGGTTAGAAGAAAAAGAACCCCAAAGAAATCATGGCATGCCTAAGATAAAGGTGGATTCCAGGGGATTCAGAACAGTATCTGACCCCATTTCTTCATTTTCCTTATAAGCATAGATTACTTCTGGTACATGTGTCCTTGAGAAGTAGGGAACCTTGCTGAACAGTCTGTCTCCTCTCGCTTCCTTCCCCAGCCTCTGCCCTTCTCAAACTGGCAAGTGGAGGAACTCACCTTGGGCCAAGTAGAGAACAGCTCGGGCCACTTTCAGGCGCCGCTCCCTACTAACCACCTCCAACCGGTCCAGAAGTCCCATCACATACGTCTTTTGGGCATCTTCTTCCAATTCCAGCCATTCCTTGCCTTGCACTAGGGATACAAGGCCATGTATATCCAATGTTGGCTACTGCCATCCCTTCTTGGGAAGGCTTCTGATAGTGTATCTACCGTGATCTCAGCCCTCAACAAATACTTTTCTCCAAAAGATTTCCTAGCCAGGCATGGTGCCACATGCCTCTAATCCCAGCACTCTGAGAGTCTGAGGCAGGAGGATCACAAGTTTGAGCCTGGCCTGGGCAACTTCATGAGATCCTGTCTCAAAATTAAAAAATATAAATGACTGGAATGTAGCTTAGAGGAAAGGTCCTGGGTTCAATCCCTAGTACCAAAAAAAAAAAAAAAAAGAAAGAAAAAAGATTTCCTTATTTTAAACTTTTTTACTGGGCTAAGGATCAAACCTAGGACCTTCAACCCAAAGCTTTCCTTAACTGAGAAGGGGTGAGAAAAAGATCTAAAATATGCTGGCCTGAACCTACTTAGTGGATTCATATTCAACTTTCCTTCTGTCCTCCATACCAACTTATTCTGTTCCTTCGCTGCCTTTCCTCAAGGAATTCTTTTTTTGTTTTGTTTTTTTTTTCCAGTACCGGGAATCGAACTCACAACCTTGCACTTGCCAGGCAGGCGCTGTGCCACTGAGCTAAATCCCCAGCCCCATCCTCAAGGAATTCTTGTCTCTGTCCACACCCAAATCTAGTCGTGGGAGGCCTAATATGAAATGACCTTTCACACTAGTGCCCCAGCTAAAAGCTCTGCTCCTGAGATACTTTCTTACTTTTCTATGGCCCTTCATGTTTTTTTCTTGGCTTTAGCTAGCTTTGTGGTATACATATCTCCCCACTGCTACCAGACTATAACCTCTTTGTAGAAGCTACAAATTTACCTTCATTCCTGCTTCTTGCCTCTCTGACACAACACATACTCACTGCACATTTGTTGAATCATGTAGTGAACTGACATTGACCAAATAAGGAAAAGGAAATCTGAGGGTATCATAGTGTGGGTACATAAAATTGCTACTGAGAGTGGGCCAGTTAAAGGCAGGGGTTAAATGTTAATTTCAACGATTCAGCCAAGTGCCGGGCTCCATGACCCACAGTCACTAGGCCAACCTAGCCTCACCATTCTCTGTCTTTTGGCCCTTTATACAGAGAAAGAGGCTCAATTTAGGCTTCTTCTGTTACTGCCTCTCTACTTGAGATCAGAGAACTCCATATCCTATGCAAAAGAAGGGAAGGGTGTATTGCCACGGAGGACCATACTTTGTTTTAGCCTTTTCCTGGGTCAGACTGGGACATTATGGAGGGAGAAAGTATGTCTCTATGTGTAAGGATCTGGGATCACCTTGAATCTTGAAATCTTCTTCAAAGCACCTCCTGTTAGCAGTGAACTCCAGGTTCTCAGTGTAGCTATACAATTCTGTGGCAAGAAAAACAGAACAGAGTCATTTAGGAGACCCCTAGCAGTAGCCTGGGATGGAAAGGGTTGCACATAAGAGCTGAAGCTTCTAACACATTCCTGTGTCCAATTCAATCCAGAGCCAGCTTCCTCCCTTGCAGAGTACTTAAAAATAGCCACTTGTGTCCCTGGGTGATTAAACCATCAAACCTGTCCTCCTCATGCCAGCTGGCTGCTGCAGTTGAGAAGGCAGCCCTCGACATTTGGTGAGGGCCAGGAGGTAGGTTGGAGTACAGAGGGCTTAATGTTATCATGCCTATTTTTCAGGTCTATAACCCATTCTGTTCTGTCAGCTTAGGCTGGAACTGTCCTATCTCTAGAAAAGAGCAAGGCAAATATAACTCCTGAAATTTAGAGGCAAGATATAAATGCTATTTAGGAAGCCAGGGCAAAGGCTAGAAAAATACACACTAGATTGCTCTTCAGCATTCGAGGCAGTAGTTCACTCTCTCCCTGTTGAGTTTCCTCCAAGGGAATAGAAGTTTATGTTCCTGCCCATGGCCACCTGGGCAGAGGTAGCATCAAATGATATAGAAAGCAGCTACAGTTGCCAAACGGCTGCTTGTGCCCAGAAAACTCTAACTTCATTGACAATAGACTCTAAATACAAAATTCAGGTTTGAGAATAAAAATGTGCTTTCCCATACACACACACAAACTCCAGAATATTGTATCTGTAGTCTCATCTTACAGAGGATGAAGAATTGAAAAGTTAATAGGTGATAAAACAGATTTCCTCAAAACCTCTATTCCCCCTAGTTGAAAATAATTCACAAAGGAAGAAAAATTAACTTATATTCCAGCCAGGTGTCTAGTGGCTGAAAAACACCTTTTCTGGGAGCTAGTGTTTTTGAGCCAGTTCCAGAATCTGGGAGTGACCAGAAGCAAATCCCATCTCTGAATTTTAAATACTCAGTTTAGTCATAGTGATGAATGTGGTACATATAGCTTGTATATTTGTTTTTTGAGCCAGAGTCTGACTATGTTGCTCAATCTAGGTTTAACTTCTAGGTTTCCTCCTTTTTTAAAGTCTCAAATGTCTGGGACTATAGGCACATGCCACAGCACCTGGCAAAGATCTCACTGTTTTTTGTTTTTTAAATAGTGGTACTGCAGATGGAACTCAGGGCCTCATGCATGTTAGTTAAGCAGTCTACCACTCTACCACTGAGCTACACCCTCAATCTTGGATATATATTTTTAAGAGTAGAGCACCACTAGCCAAGTGTGTATGGTACATGCCTGTAATCCCAGATACTGGGGAGGCTAAGGTAGGAGGATGGCAAGTTAGAGCTCAGCCTGGGTAACTCAGAAAGATCTTGTCTCAAAACAAAAGACAGCGGGGCTGCAGATATAGCTCAGCGGCACAGCGCAGCCTGGCAAGCACAAGGTCCTGACATCGATTCCTGGTACCCACAAAAAAAAAAAAAAAAAAATGGAAGGGATAAAGATGCAGCTCAGTAGTTCAGTGCTTGTCTAGCATACCATAGGCCCTGGGTTCAATTCCCAGTAGTATTACTGAGAGGCAGGCGAGAGAGAGAGAGGAGAGAGAGAGGAGAGGAAGAGAGACAGGAGAGATAGTGAGCCCACCAGAAGTCCAGCTGCAAAACAGTGTGGCCATACCACGTTGAACATAACAGATCTTGTCTGGTCTCTGAAACTAAGCAGGGTTATAACTGATTAGTACTTAGAGAAGAGAAAAAGAAAGCAAGGTTCTTAGGTGCTGTACTTTCATTTTGTTATTTTTTGATTTTAGGTAATGAAATTTCATACACAGCGTAGTATATACTAAGACATCTATACGTCTTCTACCCAGATTAAAGAAATGTTAGTGCAGTACCTGTCATATTTGTTTGAGACAATACCTAAGTCTATCTTACTCCCTTCTCTACAATCAACCACTATGATGCAATTGGTGTGTGTATCCTTCACATGCCCAGTTTTAGACTTTTACTATGTATGTATGTGTCTCTAAACAGCATATAATATTATTTGTTTTAAAGGGTTTTTTTTTTTTTTCTGTCTTTTTTGAGATAGGGTCTCACTATGCAGTTCAAGCTGGCTTTGAGTTCACTTTGTAGCCCAGGCTGGTCTCGAACTTGGAAAGATCCTCCTATCTCAGCCTCTTGAGTGCTGGGATTACAGATGTGCACCCCCACACCCGGCTAAAGGTTTTTATCTAAACAGTATCATAGCTGGGCATGGTGTTGCACATCTGTAATCCCAGTATGCACAAGGCTGAAGCAGGAGTATCACCATGAGTATGAGGTCAGCCTATACACTATAATGAGACCCTGTCTCAAAAACAAAATAAAAAAATAAACAGTATCATATTGTATGAATTGTTTTGTCACTGATTTTATTTTTGGCATTACTGATATAGAAGCATGTTAATATAGATCAATTATATTAATGGCCATACACTAGCCTACTATACTCATACACTACAATTTACACCTTCCCCTACTGCTGGGTATTTTAGGTTGTTTTTAGTTTTTCATAATTATAAACAAGGCCATAATACACATCTCTGTACATTTTCTTGTGTTCAAGTGTAAGGTTTTCCAGAGTGTAGATCTAGGAGGAGAATTACTGGGTTATAATATGCACACATCTTCAATGTTATTAGATATGACCTAACTGCTTTCCAATTTTTGCTCTGCTCCCCCATATTGCTATACATAGCAGTGTAGAAAAGTGCTTATTTCTCTACACTCTCACCAACACATATTTTAAATTTTGCAGTGTGAAGTAATATTAATTTGCTTTTCCCCATTTATTAATGACGTTGACTACCTTGTATGTATTTATGTATGTATGTAGATGGCGCTGAGGACTGAAAGGTCCTCATGCAAGTTAGACAGGTACTTTACTACTAAGCTATGCCTCAGATCCATACATATCTATGGTATATATAAGTACATACTCATATATATTCACATTCTGGATGCTAACCCTTTGTTCATGATTTAGCTTAGCTTTCTATTTCTCTGTCACTCATCACAAAATTTATTCTGTCTCTATTCACAAGAATTTCTTTAAAAATGTCTTTTTTCTCTGAAAAAGCATATCTCAAAGTGTCACTTCCATGTGACAGAATATTTAACTTTCACACCATCTCCACCCAAAGCTTGTTTATTAATAACTATCAGTCAGCACGTGTAACATGGAGGCCTTGAATCACATTTGCCCTAAGCTAAAAATCAAGACAGAGCTGGGAGTGGTGGCGCACGACTGTAATCCCAGCACTTGGGGGGCTGAGGCAGGAGGATCGCTGTGAGTGCAAGGCTATCCTGGGCTACAAAGTGAGCTCAAGGTCAGCCTGAACTGCATAGCGAGACCCTGTCTCAAAAGACAATAAATAAATAAATAAAATAAAATAAATAAAGATCAAGACAGAAAGGAGGTCAGAACAGAGATGAATGAGATCCATTATCCCTGACTCACAAACATCCACTACGATGGATGCAGGTGACATGTCCAGCCTTGTTTAACTTAGCTGCCTAATCGTCTATAGAGTTTTCCTCAGACATTGCTGAGATTTTAATAAGGGCAGCGTCAGGAGAAGAAGAAAGATGGAGGTAGAGAAAAAGAAGGAAACAGAAAGACAGAATGGGATAGAAAGGGGATGGCAGAAATAATGGGCATGCAAAGACATGAGTGACAAGAGAAAGAGAGGGAGGAGGAATGGGGTGAAAGTGAAAAGAAAATTGACCTGGGAATACACTAAAAGAAAATAAAGGGTAAGCAGGAAAGAGCAACAGAATGACACAATAAAGACTACTATAGCCAAGGAAGAATTTATAGAAGGAAAAGTGAAAACAAAAAATATTGACCATTGGAGGGCAGAGAGCAAAAGAATTGTAGAGAACAGCCTTCATTCAATAGCCACCTGCAGACCCTAGAGAAGATACCAGAGGAGATCATAGGCCCTTCCCTTCGGGCTATTCTACTCGCCTCCAATCTACCTTCTTCATACCTGATAACTCTGCTGCATGTCCATCTGCATCTCCATATTCGAATTCCAGAGTTGGGCAGTCCACAGAGCCCTGTAATAAAGAAATTCTGGTAACTAAGGTAACTTTGAAAAGGGGTTGCCAAAGGAAAATTATACCTTTATTGCATCTTTTCTTGGAGACTAAGCTTAGATCAGGGAGGCAGCTACAAAGTCCCATTTGGCCTTTTCCTCTGAGAGGAGGTTCAGGGAGGGGCTGAGGGTTTCCATAGAGAATCAGAAAGTCTGGGTGAAGAACAGGATTGTGAGCAGATCTGAAAGCTATAATCTATCTCCAAATCTAATTTACATACACATGACCAGAGGAGCACCTAGTTATCTCTACAAAAATGAGATGGACAAAAACAAAAAAGGAAAACTGGAGGAGAATTGAATTATAGCCTCATTTTGGTCATTAATACACTATGATTGGAGGCATGTCTTATGCTATGGACCACAGTTCCTTATTTACAAAAGGAGATTCTTCAGTTCTAATATTTTACCACTTGAGGATTGTCAAATAAGGCAGCATCATCTCCACTCCAAGTTGCATTAAAGGTTAGTTTTTCTATGACGTTCTTTGCAGAATCCTATTAAAATTTTTTAATGATTCTGTTCCCAAACTTCCTTAAAATAATAAGGAGGTATTTCCTTCTAGCATATAGGAATTTTAAAGTGAGGCATGGTGGTGCATGCCTGTAATCCCGGCTCTCTGGGAGGCTGAGGCAAGACAATCACAAGTTTGAGCCATGCCTGAGTAACTTAATGGCTTAGTGAAATCCTGTCTCAAAATAAAAATACTTTTGAAAGGATGGGAGGAGGTATAACTCAGTGGGAAGGACCTAGGCTCAATCTCCAGTACCATCACACACACACACACACAAACACACACACACACTTCTAAAAATTCTGAATCTTAGCTTTGTCATATACTATGTGACCATGGACAAGTTAACCTCTTTGTGATTCAGTGTGGCATACAAAAGATATTTGGTCTTTGCCCTTGATTCCTGGCACAGAGGTCCTAACACCCTTAGGACTGTATGTTACTCACAATGAGCCACTGTCAACCATAGCAGAATTGAAGCTAAAGAGGTAACTCATGGTGGGCCTTTTGATAGTTTCAAGGGAGGGAATGGTCCAGCCAGAAAAATCAAACTGTATTCTGAGGGTATAAAGTTGGTACCAGCCCTATCTGGGCAGGGGAGAGAAAACTATAGATTGAGTTAAGTCACATGATCAATGGCTTAATCATGCCTAGGTAAGTAATGCCATATGGAAACCCTGAAACAAATACTTGGGCAGCTTTGGGGTTGGTGAAAAAACAGATGTGTTAGGAAGATGGTGCCACTTCAGCCCCTACCTTGATTCTATGCATCTTTTCCATTTGGCTATTTCTAAACTATATCTTTTATAAATATAAAAATACTCAGGAATGTGTGCTTGTGTGTAATACACGTGTGTATGTGTGTAGTATCTATCTATCTATCTATCTATCTATCTATCTATCTATCTATCTATATATCTGAGTTCTGTAGATCATTCTAGCAAATTATCAAACCTGAAAGGGGACAGGTCATGGTAACCCCTGAATTTGTGGTTGATTAGGGAGAAGTGTGCATAACCTGGAGACTCTATTTGTAGCTGGTTTCTAGTGTGGTGGCAGCCTTGTGAGACTGAGCACTTAATTTATGAGGGCAGATTGTGTGCTAACTCTGGATGGTTAGTGTCAGAATTGTACTGAATTGTGAGATAGCCAGTTGGTGCCAGAAAATTGTTGAAAAATGACATTTTCAGTTTCTCATCTGTAAAATAAAGCTAGTAACAGAACTTACTTTACAGGGTCATTTTAAGTATTAAAGGAATTAAAAGGAAAGGAACTTTGTATACTTGGTAGCAGTATGTGAGTGATTACGCTACTTACAATTTTAAAATTTTTTTATAAGGGCATTTTTCTCATAAGATTATGAAGTTCACTTTAACTGGTTATATAACTAGATGGATATGTATTAGCTTACTTAACCAATTCTCTACTGTTGAACCTCTGAGATATTTTAAATTTTTATTTTATACATAAAACTGTAATAATAATTTTTTCATATTTTGGATCTTTTCTAAGGATAGATTTTTAAAATTTTTATTTTATTCTATTTTTTGTGTAGTCTAGGCTGGTCTTGAATTCACTATGTAGCTCAAATTGGCCTCAAACTCATGGCAATCCTCCTGCCTCATCCTCCCAAGTACTGGTACTACAGATGTGTGCTACTACACTTGACAGGATAAATTTTTATAAAGAGAATTAATGCATTAAATCTTTTTAATATTTTATGGCTCTTTGTACGTTATCCCCCAAAGACACTGTACCAATTTATATTGCCAACAAAGCAAATCATGTTTAAATCTACTAGAGCAAAGATTTCCAAAGTTTTGCCTTTGGATTACAGGGACCAATGGGATGGGGGAGGGAGATGGAGGGTAGGAAATTATATAGGGTTATCAATGTTTCATTTCGGTAAGTAGCAACTTGAATTTTAAAAATATACATATATATGGAGAGAGAGAGTAGTTTAATACTCAAAAATGGGAAGAACTTAATTCAGAATAAAGGACAATCATTAAAAACAGTGTTTTTCATCAGGTACAATAACATTACTGTGATCTCAGCTACTTGGGAAGATGAGGTAGGAGGATCACAAGTTTCAGCCCAGCCTGGGTAACCTAAAATAAAAAACAAAAAGGGTTGGGAATGTAGCTCACTTGCCTAGCATGTTCCAGGTCCTGGGTTTAATCCCAGTATGGGGGGGCGTGGTTTAACAAACTGCAGGAAAATGACAAATACATTTTATATCATGTCCCAACATACACATACTCATACACACACGCACATACACATACACACACACACACTCATGAGAACTAAAATTTAACAAAATATTTACTCTCAGTATATGTGATCCACTGATATCTTTCTCTTTTTGGGTTTGTTTTTGTTTTGCTTTCTAGTATATATTTTTTGGACACAGGATCCTCCTAAGTTACCTACGATGGTCTTGAATTTGCAACCCTTTTGCTTCAAACTTCCTAGCAGCTGGAATTACAGGCTTTTACCAGTTTGCCCAGAGCACTATTTTCTATTTTTCTATTTCTCTTAAAAAACAAAAAAGGTATCATTCACAGGTTGTCTCATATAGTTTCAAAAACACTTTTAAATTTAACATATTGAACTACATTTCAAAGAAACTTACATCAATGCCCTGAATTTTCTTCATCCTAGCACAGACCAGTTAAACTCTGTCAAGAACCCTGAGAACCAATAAAGGAGAACCAGGAGATATAGCTAGAAGAGGTATAAGGGTGAATCCTTTTTTTTTCCTTCGGTGTTAGAGTGAATCCTTTTGCTACAATCTTTTATTAACAATTATCCTCTGGCTTCCTTTTTTTAGCATATGGGATTTTTATAAACTAAGCCTTCGGAAGAGGTAAGTCAACACTGTCTCTACAAATATATGATGTACAAGGAGGCTCTCTTATCCATAGTAAATCTCTTCTAGCAATTCTCTAGAAGCCTTAGGGAAGAATGAACATCATTCCCCTAAAAACTGTCTTCTACAGAACAGCAAAAAGAGGGAGGGAGGGAAAAGCAGATCCAGCACCTGGATACTGTGGTGACAAGGGGATGTACTGACGGGTATATCCTGCAGCAAGGGAAGGAGGAGAAAGCTAATCTTTCCAGCCAGGCTTTTGGCAGGCAATGAGCCCAGCTAGAGATGATCACTGCAGATGTTCATTTCCAGGCATGAGAAGTGCAGCTGCAGGCAATCATCAGGTAAACTGTGGTGCAAACAGACTGCTAGGTCTCTGGACACCGAACTCATTAGCAAGGCAACTGTTAGAGACTTTTCCTGAAGGAAGACTTGATAAGTGGGGGACATGCCTCCCACTTCAGAAGACAGACAGGAACAGGGGCTATTTTTAATACTTTCATAGAATGTATCATTCTGAACCTATTTTATTTACCTATTTGCATATTATCTGTCTCTCTACCTCTACTGGAATGTTAGCTCTATATGGGCAAAGACCTTTTGTTCACTGATGCATCATTACCCCCTAAAACAGTGCCTGACATACAGAAAGATTTCAATAACTAAATGATGAATTAAAAAATAATTCATCCTCCAAGATGATTTCTCTGTGGGTGAAGGAGGCACGGGGTACCCTAAAAGACAAGATCCTGAGCAAGGCAGACAACGAGGCGGATATGATCCAGGAGAGGGAGCATTAAGCTCCGCTAGTCTTTTCTCCTCTACTTCTATTTTTTAGAAGAAACAGAAGCTGGGGTCCCAGTACTTGGGAGGCAGAGAGGCAGGAGGATTGTGAATTTGAAGCCAGCTTGGGCTACCTATTGAGGGCGAGGCCAGCCTGGATTACACTGTGGCTCTGTCTCAAAAAAGTAAAGAAGAAAAAAAAAAAAAAAAAAAAGAAGGGTTGGAGAAAGGGGAAAGGGA